ATGCGCCCCCCTCCCCGCCACCCCCTCCCCCCCCCATGGTGAATGGCAGACCTGCAGGCTGCATACAAGTGATCTCGGCGACACCGCCAAGAACACTTGTACAAAACAAGCGGCGGCTTCCCCGCTGTACATTTAGCTCTGCTTGCCCAAAGCAGGGCTACATGTAGAAAACTACGCCCAGAACTGCATGTACCAGGCATTGGGAGATAGGAATTCCACACCTCTGCTGCCCCTCTACTCCCTGCTGCCCCAAGGCCCGGCCTTGGTTGGCCTTGTGGGAAATCCGGACCTGACTAGGGATGCACGATACCGATTTTTCGGTATCAAGTACAAACACCGATATTTTGCTTTTGGCACACATGCCAATACCGAGTACTGATACCGCTGTTTCAGCTGGTAATGACCCGGCTTCCTGATTGGCCAGGAAGCCGGCTCCATGATGATTGGCTGGGAAGTCATCACCCCAGCCAATCAGCATGGAGCCAGCTTCGTGGCCAATCAGGGAGGCGGGTCATTACTCGCTGTCCGACTTCCTGTTTGCCCGGTAAGCCGGCTCCATGTTTGCCTACGGCACCGCCGGTCAGAGGAAATCTTCCTCTTAAAGGAAGTGCCATTATCGGAGCATTTGGGCGAGTAAGAGTGCTCGCCCAAATACTCGCTATCGGCACCAATACTAGTATCGGTATCGGTGCATCACTAGTCAAAATAAAACAACATTTTGTTTGACATTCGTCAAGTCTCTGATGGCATTATCGGGTGATAAAGAAAGATCTTTCGTTCGGAAATCTACTAGTGTATGGGCAGCTTAAAGGATAATGCAAGGTCTAGTTGGGGTAAAGCAACGACAATGTTGTAAAATACGCACGCACTGAAAACGCGCTCGCATTTCCCTTTAAATCTCAAGAACGGCGCTAAATATTTTCACATTGACTTCACCTTGCAGCCCTGTCATCAGGATGTCGACAAATACAACCCAGATTGGTTTATCTATTAACAGTTATGAACTGTGAGCGCTGGAGATAAGGGGCCAGCAGCTTTGATGCGATATCAACACTTACAAACCACAAAACAAACAGACGCTTTCAGCCGCGAATCTGCGTGGCTTCAGCCGTGTGTGCGGCCGAGATAGATGATTACTCGGGAGTTAAGGATCCCTCGCCTGGTGTCATGAAATCCTTATTCAGGCTCACTTATCTCTTTTCCTCCATTCACTCCTATGCTGAGCTCCACTGGCTCCTGAAATGGAATATGTAAATGTTTGGCTGCTATATAGCTCCAGGCGAATGGGAACACCACTGTTACATCTCCCACACATGTATGTGATATATGTATGCATCCCCATCCCATCCCTACTGCCATGACCGCATTACAATCTTTCATGCACGTCAATACTTGGAATCTTCATTTTGTCTGTGTTTCCATGCCCGAAATGCGTATCAGAGCTGCACTAGCCACTCAATGGAGTGTTACCACGGTCTTCCAAAGGAGGCTGAAGTTGGCATTTGAGCTGCACACACATACAAGGGCCAAATTACCTTACCAGCATGTCTTTGGAGTGTGGGAGAAAACCGGCACACACAAGCCCAGGGAGATGGGCAAAGAGATATAGTGGTTAGCACTTCTGTTTTGCAGCACTGGTGGCCCCCAGTCCAAATCCCGGTCAGGCCACTATCTGCAAGGAGTTTGCATATATTACCTGGGCTTGCTTTGGCTCCCTCCAATTACTCCCACACTCCAAAGACATGCTGGAAGGTTAACTGGCTCTAGGGTTGCCACCTTTTTTTATAAGCGAAACCCAAACACTCTAGCGACGCACAGAATTTTTGGGGGGAGGATGAGTCGCAGCTTATTCATATGTAAATATCATAGTCGAGACTATATTCAATGGGGGGCCAGTAGCCCCTATCTCAAGACTCTTTTGTGGACCGTGCGGTGTCAACCCTGGACAGTTTTCTTTTGCTAAATTTCTCAAACCCTCCCCTATTCTATTCTCCATAACATGGAAACAAGAGAGCGACATTTATAAAATATAAGACGGAAGGGACGGCATTGGCGTTCCTGAACTACAAAGAATGTAACAAAAAATGCAAACTAGAAATCCGGGCAGCTAAAACTGAGTCCGATTATTCTGTAGTCCCAAGATTCTATCCAGGAGGGTGACATAAGCTGGCCATATACTGGTTGAATTTCCACCTTCTGAAATTCGACCAGTGTGCAAACCGTCGGCACCCCTCCATTCGGTGGAGTTCCTTTTTTTAAAATCAACTTTTGTCTAGGAGTCGGTCTGCAAATTCTTGGCCAATTAGTGACTGCAGCCAGTCAGTTGCGGGTACTGTACAGGTACCCTGACAACATGGCTAAATGAGAAAAACCTACAAGTGTATGGCTGGCCTTACACTTCTCAAGATAGCACAGGAAGTGTACACAGGATGTAGGACAGCTCTGAAATTCTG